GGGAATGGAATGTTGCGGAGGAACCGGTGGAGGCGGTCGAGAAGATGCTTGATTGGAGCCGATGGTTGGTGGGGCAGGGGGTGGTGCTCTTGATGGAGGGCCGGTTGTGGCTGGTTTGGGAACCGGAGGAGCAGATTTGAATGAAGGAGCCGATGGGGGCCCGCTGGTTTTCTTTAATGTCGGCATTCCCCCAGCAAAAAGCCCGCCGAGTTGGGGAGGTCCGTTGGCCATCCCAGCCGCTGTGGAGCCTTGGGAGTCGGTCTTTGCGTGCTGAGGAGGCTTGGGAGCACCTGGAGCCGATTTCAAGCCGGGGGGTCTTGGGGCACTGGCCAACCCGGCACCTGGGCGAGCTCCGCCACCACCAACAGCAGGCGAGCCGGGCACAATGGGTGCACTTCGATCATTAGTTTGGGCTTTCTTGAGTCTCCTTCCGGCTTGAATCTGTGCAGCGAGCGCTCCATCCATTTTACGCTGCGACGAACGATAGGACAGGTGGGCATCAGCGTGAAGAAAGCAAATAAATAAGCAAGCCAGCAACCAACTCACGATCCTACAATGTGTTTGTCTAAGGGGAGGGAATAGGACAAGTCAAGATTCGGATTGTTGAAGAAGCGTCTGAAGGCGGGATACAAAAACGTACCAAAGCCGGCCGCCAAGGACGCAATCGTTCCAAGATGAAGTATTGGCTGATCGCTGGTGAGTTGAGTTTTTTGTTTAAGAACTATCGAGATGGATGTTTCGATTACAGCACAGTGGTCAACAGAGCAGTCGGCTCAGGCTATTCGCAGTCGAGTCCACCGGGGGAGGGGGCTCGAAGGATGCGTACACCGCCCCTGTGAAATTGACGTCATCGCATTCGCACCAATCGGGCGACACACCCTTTATATTCGCCTATACAGTGTCCAAAGCTCTTTCCACCCTTGGGAGGATTCCTACATATACATATTTAACCAAAAACTGACAGTTCTTTTTTTCTGGCTTTAATCCAAGATGAGTAAAACCACAGTTTCTCAGTAACTTGGCATGGAAGCTTATGCCTCTATCATTTGCATGCCTTGGCTTGGCCTTTCAGCCTGTGCTTGCAAATTTGCACTCTATATGGGCAATTTCCTGGTTTGCTGAAACAAGTTGGCCATCCCATTCGCTTGCAAATTAGGGAGTTGTATTTCCACCTGACGTAACAAGAATCAAGCAAAGATATACAGAATGGGTAATAGGAAACAATATGTCTGGAAAGCAGTGGTAAGAGCTGAACCCCTGATGATCCAGAGGTTTGGGCCATTTCAAGTACAGCTTCTGCTTTTCTGTTTAATTGTGATGTCACCCACAAATATCCTTTATACATGCCTGTTTAAATTTTGCAATAATCCCTAGTGGTTGTTCTCTTTTCCCACAACAGCAAATGGTGACACAGTTCTTGGGGAACTAGGATAAGGTGATTCTCACCTTTCCACCCTTCCTCCAGCTTAACAAAGTCTCTCCTGGGGCTTCCCCATAAGAGAGGCTTATGAATGAAGTCAAATATTTAGCTGGGAGGGTTGAGTTAGACCATTTTCTTTGGCTATCTTGATCAACAAAATGTGTCAAAATTCTGGAGAGGTATAAAGAGCTGAAATGACTGAAAAAATACATGTTGAGGAAAAATGGAATCATGAATTATCAAACTTGGCTTGGATATTTCATGGAGAACTTCAATTTGCCAAGTCTGAAATTACATTGCCCAACTATGCCAAGATCCTCATTTGTGAAGCTTTCTGATAATGCCAGATTTAGTTAAAATACTTATTTTGGATTTGCAATGTGGAAATTTTGAAGATTTCTGGCCATTTTCCTGGTGGATCTTGGTAGATCCTTGTTTTAGGTTCTGAAGAACAAATGATCATGCATTATTTTTCAAGAATTGTAGAGGGTGAACAGTAACCATTACAAATGAAGGGATGAGACCACTGCCAAATGCTTGGACAGACACACACAATTGGTCAAAGAAAATGTATCAGTTCCCATTTCAGATGCACATTCATTTTTCTTTTCAAATTCAGGCTAGCCACCTCTAATCTACAGGAGCCCAATAAAGTTGCCCCTAGGTGCAAATCAACCCTCCAAATTAAGGTTGTTTTTTACAATCTGTGTTTCAAGCAGAAGCTTCTTGAAAGCCGAAATTCAACATAGAAAACACCATACTCGTGTGTTTGGTGGAATCTGAGACAAAACCTAGACAGAGCCATTCAAACACAGCCATTATGTTTTATCCAAACCAACAAAACAGGAGTCTCAAATTCTTTTTTGTTGTCCTTGAGGATTTACAGATGATGATTCCTTGTTTCAAATTGGTTAGTCATTAGTACAAGGTCCCCAGGCCTCACTTACAGACTACATATTTATACATAAAAATGTGTTATTTTTCCTCAGGATTCTTGAACCAACTATCAACCATCACATCAGACCCAGTCCAGCTATTTTGCCCCACAACCACCATCAATTTTTTCTCAAGACACATTTCATTGGTGCACTGATGATTGCATTCAAATTCCTTCTTCTCAGCATGTGGGTTTGCCTCAATACCAGATATTTTATGTGAATCCATAATAAAACCAGTTGGTCGATTTGAAATTGATCAAACAGAAAGAAATGTGGTTCCATTGTGTGGTGAGCTTTTTACAGGGATCAATGTAGTTTCAGGCCTGTTTACTGATTTCTTCCATGACCACAGCACTTGATATAGAAAAGGAACCTACACCCAAACACAGAAATAACTCCCCATCATTTCTGAGTTGCTTTTCAAAACAATCTGGTAGGGATACCAGTGAAAGCAACAGCTCTACAAGATGTTGGTTTTTTCCTCACCCCATGCCATCTTTGGAATGAATTTATATCCTTCAGGCTGATATACTTTATTTTTGTAGTGGGTACAGTTGCAGCATGGAAGAGAAATAAAAGCAAGTTTTTTTTTTCATCTTGAAATTTCAAGCCCTGGTTTAGTTGTTGACAAGATATGATTTGGATTCATAGAAGAGGTTGAATTGCTTTATCAACAATCAATTGGACTTGCTGCTGAGCAAGAGGAGATCCAGAAACAACTGGTGTGGCTTGAAAAACACAAAACAGAAGAATATTCAAAACAGTTGCCTGATGCTATCAAAATGTTTGAAAATTCAAGAAAGCACATTTCATTCCTCAAACAGTGGAAGCTACACACTTTAGGACGATCATATGAATTACCTTTTTTCAAAATTCAGGAAAGTGAATTGGTTGAAAATCCATTGTTTGGAATTCCAGAAGAATTACGTCCATTACTTATAACAGGCTATTCAAAGATGTTATTTGAAGAGGTGAAGGAATTATTTACCAATCACAATATCATGTTTCGGGACCACGAATTACGTCGCCAATCAGAACCTCTCAGTTTCTTTCAAGCAATATGTCATGCAGTTTCTGGATCCACCCGCAAGGAAAGGTTTAAAACTGATGCAGCCAAGAATTATGTTCTCAAAACACTTGATTTCTTATTGGAAAATGGATTGATCAATGAAGAAATGATTAGGGAAATATTTCATGAAGAGAAAGCAGTGAAACAATTTGTTCTCCATGCTTTCACTAGTATAAGCAGTAAAGCTGAATTTCGTATTTTGAAACACTGCAACAAATTGACTGAACACTGGTACTGGCCATATTTGAACAAATTTTATCAAGGTATTTGCAAAGCTTTTCCAAAAATGAGACACCCTGATTGACTGATTCTTATTTTCTTCCTTTTGGATGTAAAATAGTGCTGGGACAGGAAGAAAAAGACATTATGGATCTCACATTTTATGAGGGGAGGTTTAGCTCAAAAGGTGAATATGAGCTCAAACTGAATTACATATTTGTGGGAGATCCACATTCTTTTCCATTGGAAAAATACTTCCATCAATTAAAGAATTTGGATAAATCCAATCATCTCAACTCCCATGGTACTAAAAACAATCACTCTGGCCATCTGCAATCAAGTGATTATGAAGGGTTCTGAAAAAGAAATGGAAGAAATTATCAAACAACTAATTTATGAAGGCTGTTGCAACATACACTTTGTCAATACAGGTGAATATGAAACCTATCTAGCTGATGCTATAAATCTCTTCTCATTCATGGAGAATAAGATGTATCCAGGTATCATCAAAAAGTTGTAAGTCTCCCAAGATAGACATTTCAATATACTTCAGGCAAAAATTGAAATTTTGTTGAATTTCTGGGACAGATTGAACATTCCTGAATTTTTAAACATTATGCACAAATACCTTGGTTTATCAGAAAAGTATGAAAACCCAGAAGAACTTTTTCAGCTGATAAAATGCTGGTCACAAATACGCACCTCTCAGGAAATGGCTTCCCACTATGAGAAAATGTCCAGGTCCAACAAAATAGAATTGAAGAATGTTTCATGGAAAAAGGATATTTATGATGGGTACCTAAATCAAATTTCACAAGCCTTACATCAATCTGCAGAAATTTATGATTCAATATCAAAAAGAAAAAATGAAGTTTTGA